ATTTCCACTAAATAACAAAAGTACATCAAATCGGATTGAAGCTAAGGGCATACAAAACTGTCTATCAGGGATTGAAAGCGTGATGGAGAGTGGGGACACTCGTGGGAGTGGCAACCGAAGTAAAGGGTGATTGCTCGACCTGAGCCGATCAGCGGAGGAGGATTTGGAGACCATTCCTTGTTTCATCTTGCATTCGCTCGATTTTTTCAAATTGAGCCTTAAAATGGGCCTCGAACTCGTACACATTTTTCAAGAGTATTTCGATATCAACCTAATTGGCCATCTCTGTCTCGTATTGGTTCTTAATCCTTAGTTTGGTATTCTCCAGGATGTTGTCATGTTCTTTGGGGATTAGTGTAAGGTTGATTCTTCGGGCGGCCATCCTCTGTACTTGAGATTCTACTGTAAGCAAGGTGATGGTCAGGTTGGGGGTTATGGTCTCCTTGAAAGATAAAGCAAGACTAGGGGTAAGGAATCAACCAGGAGGCTAGGGCAAGGAGAGTGGTGAGACGACTGAGTAGGGAGTCTAATGATATGGGTCTATCAGTGGTTGAATGAATGCCTTTCATTTTGAGAAGAACCTCCATTTATAGGGAAGATCCCAAGATCCTGCAAGGAAGGAGCCAAAAGTGTTTGTTTTCTACTAGGAAAGGGGATATTAGATTCACTGTGAGTTATTAAGGAGTATTGTTAGGGTTTCACCATGTGTTTTTATGGGATCTCTTCGAGGATTGGCTTTCCTTTCATCCGAAGATCCTCATAGGTCATGTGTGCTACTGCCTTTTGCACCTTACTTAACCAACGTGGCACTAGAGACGTCACTACTTGGCGAGCAGCCTCTTATTAAGCCTACGTGGCACCCTATCACGCTCTTTGCTCGAAATTACATGTGCAATCAATATTTAGGCCTGGTTCTTAATGAACCGGGATTCCATAGCAATCCAGGGTTCATTGCGGGACTAAAAGCGTATAAAAACTCATCGCAGGCTCAACTCAAGTCTGTTTTTGGGCTTGCCTTAAGCATGGGTTTTTTGCAATCGTGTGATGAACCATGGGTTCATCACAAACCTGTGATGTACTATGAGTTCATCATAGAGGAAAGATGAGCTACAGACTGATTGCAAGCGTCCATATGGTATCAATCTAGTGTTTTCAATGCTCTGAGGGATTGAGCGAGCACTATGTACCTACACCCGTCTTTGTCCCCGTCCCCGCTAATGTGGACAAGATTATCCTCATTCCCCGTGATTTTTTTCTAATGTTAACTATTTTGTTTTTATTTTTTATTTTATTTAAAAAATAAAAATAAAATAATTAAAATTTACAATTCTATTAGAAAAGATGCAAATATATCCAACCATATTTTGTTTTTATTTTTTATTAATATAGGCGATCGGGATCCTCACTAACGATATGAAAATTTGCCCATCCCCAACTCCGTGAGAGGAAATCATCCCCCATCCCTGCTGCGTTAGGAGCGGACCACCACCGAAATCGAAAAAGGGGGGAAAATTGCATCCTAGGGAGTTGTTCTCAATACACCGCTCGGATGGGTTGTAGGGTGCGAGTGGGGGCGCTGATGCGAATTCGTCGAGTGATTGTAAATCAGCAAATCAAGGATATTTCAGTCAATTTGTACGGAGAGAATATTTTTCATTTTCTTTGTTCACTAGTCTCGAATTTTGAAAACAAGAGCAGTTTTTTCTATTCATTCGAAGGAGAATCTACGCCGTCCCATTTTAACATCCAACGGCATCAAACGGTCAACAAGAAAAGGAGGGAAAGAATGCCGACCGTCTGATCATACTGAGTTGTCCTTCACTCACCTGTATATATTTCTAGGGTTCTATTTTTTCTAATTTCTCATCCCCGTCTCCCCTCTGATCGAGCTCCTTTTCTCCTGCTTGATCGTCGGAGTATCACCGGAAACTCTGTACTTCTCGTCTCCTCAACTTCAAGTTGTTCCATCCTTCAGTGACTGTCTTACCGGAAAATTTTTTCTCATTTGTTACAAGTAAATCTCCCAACTCCGTCGCTTCATTTCTTGCGGTGGTCTCAAATTTTGAAAGCTTACTTGGCATTGCATTGCTGATATCGAATCTGATCTTTAGATTGCCGGAAGCATTTCAATTAGATTTCGTGCATAAGCTTTCATTTCTTCACTAATTTTTGAAATTTGGTTCTTGATTTCAGGAAAGATGAGAGAAATCCTACATGTTCAGGGTGGACAATGCGGTAACCAGATCGGGTCGAAGTTCTGGGAGGTGGTTTGCGATGAGCATGGCATAGATCCAACCGGTAGGTACACTGGAACATCCGATCTGCAGCTTGAGCGCGTTAATGTCTACTACAACGAGGCTTCTTGCGGGAGGTTCGTCCCTCGTGCGGTGCTTATGGATCTGGAACCCGGAACCATGGACAGTGTACGAACCGGCCCTTACGGACAGATCTTCCGTCCCGATAATTTTGTTTTTGGGCAATCTGGTGCCGGTAACAACTGGGCGAAGGGACATTACACGGAGGGAGCGGAGCTTATCGATTCCGTTCTTGATGTCGTGAGGAAGGAGGCTGAGAACTGTGACTGTCTTCAAGGTATAATTACCTAATCATCTGCGGTTTTATTTCATCTATTGAATTTTACTCGTCTTGATCTGGTAAAAGCTTGATTCATTATTTTTTCTTGTCCTGCTGTTGATTATCTCTCTGAACTGCATTGTTTTTCCCCTTTGTTTATTGTACCTTGATGTTTTGTTTTCATCATTTTTCAATATTATCTTTCGAATGGGAAAACCTGATTACGAAGCTCTTAGTCTTACCGACTTTTCGGTACTATAATTTCCATTTTTTGTCAAATATCTCTTTTTTTCGCACTGGGATTAGGATGTATGATTTTGAAAAAAAACTGGATAACTGCCGTTTTCTTTGGCGTTTAAGAGTAGCCTATTCTCAGTTTCGCATTTACTTTTCCCTCTTGTTATGATGGATGTGGTTCGTTCTTTTAAATTCGCTTCTATCAAGATTTTTTATACCATGGAGATGAAACTCTGCTTATTGTTTGCTCTTTGTTCTAATTCTTTTAAACTTGTACAGGATTTCAAGTTTGTCACTCTCTAGGTGGAGGAACTGGTTCTGGCATGGGTACTTTGCTCATTTCAAAGATCAGGGAAGAGTACCCTGACCGGATGATGCTCACATTTTCTGTCTTCCCCTCCCCAAAGGTTTCGGACACAGTGGTTGAGCCATACAATGCAACCCTTTCTGTTCATCAGCTCGTTGAAAACGCAGATGAGTGCATGGTTCTTGATAATGAAGCTTTGTATGATATTTGCTTCAGGACTCTCAAGCTTACTACTCCCAGCTGTAAGTGATTAAGTGTACCTTGTCCACATCTGTCATCTATTATACCATGTACTTCTTTGCCTCAGTAGCTATGAAGAAACTTATTACACTTAGCTGCGCCATTTTGTTGGTGAAATTTAGTGGCATCTTTTTTTTTTTCGTTAAAAAGTGGTATCTTAACTTCCACAAGAGAATCATATTATATTTTGATGATGACTTTGGCTAAAGGACGCAATTATGGATTCTTCGTCCAATCGTTGGCTAAAATTTGTTGTTTCGTGTCCTTGTTATGTATTCTATTTTCAATTTGTATTTTGTCGAATGTTATTTCTCATCTTTGTGAGTTAAATCACCGTTCAATCGTTGGTATTACATGAATGATGTTAATGTTGACCATGGTTTAACCACTGATGGATGGTGGGACCTTCAGGCGTAATTGTATATCACTAGTTATTTCTGTTTGGTTGGCTTCAGGGTATAGAAGATGATTTGGTATTGCGAGAATACCTTCAGGCCTAGTAATTTGACAATCTCTAAGCTTTTAACCGCAGTGGTTGGTACCGTATCCATACCAAATTGTTCCTTGAATAGATCACTGAGATAAAAAAAAATGTCTCAATCATTTTTTTGGTGTTAGTTATCTTCTATTTGATGAATTGGAATAATTTCATGATGTCCTGTCAAAAATATTCTTCCATGATTGATGTTTTGTTACAGTGAAATCGTTGTTTTGTAAGTGAGGTTTTTCTCTCTCAATTTTTTTTTCATGTTTACAATGGTTAACAGTAGTTTATTGTCCTTGTATCTGATTTTCAGTTGGTGATCTGAACCATTTGATCTCTGCAACCATGAGTGGTGTTACCTGCTGTCTCAGGTTCCCTGGGCAGCTGAACTCTGATCTGAGGAAGCTTGCCGTGAACTTAATTCCATTCCCCCGTCTCCACTTCTTTATGGTTGGATTTGCCCCCCTGACCTCACGAGGTTCTCAACAATATCGGGCTCTGACTGTCCCAGAGTTGACCCAACAGATGTGGGATGCCAAGAACATGATGTGTGCTGCTGACCCTCGCCATGGCCGCTACCTTACTGCCTCAGCTATGTTCAGAGGTAAGATGAGCACTAAGGAAGTGGACGAGCAGATGATCAATGTGCAAAACAAGAACTCGTCCTACTTTGTGGAGTGGATTCCAAACAATGTTAAGTCTAGTGTCTGTGACATTCCACCAAGGGGACTGTCAATGGCATCTACCTTCATTGGAAATTCTACTTCAATCCAGGAGATGTTTAGGAGGGTGAGCGATCAGTTCACGGCAATGTTCAGGAGAAAGGCTTTCTTGCACTGGTACACTGGTGAGGGCATGGATGAGATGGAGTTCACAGAAGCAGAAAGCAACATGAATGACCTTGTCTCGGAGTACCAGCAGTATCAGGATGCAACTGCTGATGAGGAAGACGATTACGAGGATGAGGATGAGGAAGGTCTGCAGGAGATGTGAAGAACCGAACCAGAAAATGAGCGTCTTTAAAGTTAAACTCTAGTGCCCTCTGCGTTGTGAATTGTGCCTTTTAGCTTTGTCTACTCGATGTTCACTAATTATCAAGTGCTTGGAATATTTGATTTCATCTGCATGGGGAATGGGGATGACTGCTTACCCTGCCCGGAATATTAAAAGGTTCTCATCTTTTCTATGCTCTTTGGTCGCAGGCGATATATGTAAGAAAGTTAAAACCTGTTTTCTTTTGATACACCTTATTTTAAAACATCACTTGCACTAGTGTGTATCATTTATATTTATTAAAGTTACTCGTCCCAAATTCATCATCTTTAAGATCTTATCATTTGGTTTGTGATATAAATTCGTTTGTTGCTTTTTTTTTTTGTTTTGCTTACCCGCACGTTGGTCGGGCTTGGTCATGTAATTAGGCCCGCGAGCCTGACATCGGGGGCCTAACACAATGAGTTCGATTGTGTTTCGGGCCAGGCTTGGGATTTGTCAAAAAAGGCCAATCCGACCCAATTCAGCATTTTATATATTTTATAAAATACATAATATGTATTTTATATATTATATAAAATATTTAAATATTATAATATTTATTGAAATATATATTTATAATTTATACATATTTTATTTTTTTCTTTATAATTTCTCTCTCTCTATTCAGTCGCTTCAGTAATAGTAATAGCATGGGCTAAATTTTTGACTCGGGCCTAGGCCTAGGCTTTGGGCTTTTTATGAGGGTTGGTTTCGGGCTTAAGTTGTAAGCCCGATGGTTGGGTCGGTCTTGGGCTCGGGCTCGGGCCTTAGAAAAATATGTTAATACAGAATGAAAGCTTGGCCCAAGCCTGACTTGGCTCGGCCCATGAATAGGTCTAATAACTAGCAGTTATTTTTTAGGGGTAGCTTTGTAGTGGTGATTGTGTTGAACTTTCATTTGCAAAAATTCTGCCACTGTTAGAAGCATCCTGTCTGTTTTCAACTTTTATAATTTTGCTCTCTTTTATCATACCTCTTAGAGTTGAGACCCAATTTTTGATTTTTTAATTCTTTTTTTTTCTTAAGATAATGATTTGCTATCTCCTTGGCCCAAAGGTTTTCATTTCTTTTTTTGTCTTCTTTCTTAATTTGGGAAAAAAGATTCTTTTGAGTCAAAAAGAAATCTTAAAACAAATGAAAAGAGTTCTCTTGGTAAAGTTTTGAAAAGAATTGAAGAACTGAATCAAACCAGATTCAAATGTCACCAAATTTGAAACCAAGATTCGAAATCAAATGTGATTGATTTGATTTTGGTTTCAAATCTGATTTGAATATGGTTGTGCAAATTTGGTTTCAAATCTTGCATTGAATCAGACTTGAAATCAAGTTCATCTTTAGTTAGATTTTCGTTCAGGAATGCAGTTTTGATATTCATTTTTTAAATATCGTAGTTATGGTGTGATGTTACAGATAGCAGGATCCTAATAGATTTAAGTATGATCACGGACGAAAATGTTTTTTCATAGTCGATTTTCTCTTTTTGAGTGTACATTTTCACCACAAGATGAGCCTTGTAAGTCTCAATCTTACCATTGGGGCTTTTTTTTTCTCTTATATATTCATTTGCAACTAATTACTTTTACTCCAGGGATGAATCTACTAGAATTCAGACTCTATTGGTTTTAATTGAGTCCATCTCATCTTTCATGTCATGTATCTACTTAAATGAATCTATATCCAATGTAGCTTTCGTATAAGTCATGAGATCTTTACTAATGATTTGCAAAAGTCCCTAAGTAGAGTAACTTCTCCGTCACTAAGTTTTCTATGTCTTAAATATCTGTAATGTGTTACATGCATGAGTAGAAGCCCTAGTGTCAATACATCAGGAATTAGAAATAACCAACAAATTGGTCTATATGATAAGATTCAAAATTATATTGCTTTTTTATTTTTAGATATTGAGGACAATTACTCTTTCAGTGGTCGATCTGTTTGCAAAAGTGACATGCATCAAATGTCGTCATTCTTTTGCCTTTTAACCTTGTTAACATTTTTTTGAGGTTTCTTTTGTCTTTTTCTTTTTCTTTCCCGAATTGCCATCTTTAACAAGTATGACTATCGATTTGTTCTTAATCAGTTTTTTAGCCCTCTGCAACATATTGCTGAGTTTCTGAAGGCTAACATTTATCTTATTCATCTTATAGTTTATGATAAAATGATTTAAGGATGGAGGTAAGGAGTTTATGATGTTATCAATATTGGTGACATGATCAAACCCTGACCCGAGAGCCTCCAGTTCATTGATGTAGCACATCATCTTTAGGCAATGGTCATGAACCATTTGGCTCTATCATTTTAGCGGTTATAAACAACTTTAGGACATTTTGTCGTATAGAACGATTCTACTCTTCATATATTGTTCTCAAACTATCTAGGATATCGTTGGATACTTTGATTTGATTGAACCGTCTCTATATCGGATTGTCGAGGGAGGTTATGATGTAGCACCGGACAAGAGTTCTTTTATTCTCATTCTTTATATTCTTTCTTATAAGTTTCAGAAACCTTATCATGCGAACGATTCGGAATAGGGATTTTAGCAACCTTGTCCAATTTCTCGGATGTTAAAACTAGCATAAGGTTACAAAACCAGTTAGCATAGTTCGGGCCCTTAAGCTTATTGTCGTCCAACAGTTTGGCGAGTTGTCTGTTTGTCATTTCTGATAAAGGTAAAGCAAATTATTAGTTCACAACCTGATTCGATTTATGTTATTTACATAAAAATGACTTATAATCTATATTCAATTTCTATTTGTTTATCTTTGAGATTTCCCTCATATCTCATTGACGGAGACGTGATTATGTCTTTAGAAATGTGGGACATTACATACAGTGCATGGATCCAACTGTTTCAGCTGTATAACCCCACCACATTTTGTGAATGATCATATTCATACATCTTATAAGCTTTTCCTTTGGCCTCAGCCAGACAAGGTTCATTGTAGTTTTAAGTTAAACATTTATGTCCAGTAAATGCTATTCCATCGGTCTATGACTTCCCTATCATCTTATGAAACAATTTATAGACTCATCACCAAATGTATAGCCCAATTTTGTGGTGCATCTCATTATTGATAAGCCCATTTTCATGCTAATGATGGAAAGTGTTTAGAGAGTTCATTATATGAATCTCACTATCACATGTACTTATATTTTGTTAGAGGGAACAAGTAATTACGCCATAGTTCTTATTTAGGTCAAATCAAAGTGACTCCCACTAACTTTCTCAAAGTCAAATTTAGATGGGTCTTAAACGGCTAGGGTTACGTATGATTCCTCTTGGTGAGAAAGCTGATGTGTGACCCATCAGGAAGTATATTCAGCCATGGTGTGCATAAAGAGTTACTAACGAATGAACATGGGTCAAGTGTTTATGGCCCATGTGCGTAGCACATCACATATCATACGTTACATGCATGAAATTATCACATAGTTGATCTAATCAATTATATCAATTGTAAAACACTTAATTAATTAAGTTAAATCAATATCAATTCATTAAAGCCCATAATATTATCATATAACATTATCTAGGTATATGAGCTAAATTGCAAAAAGCAATTCAGCTAATATAACATTTTTGCTGATTTAGGCTAATGCAGTTTCAACTTACAAAATTGGGTTTTACAGGGCTAGACTGAATTAGATCTTGTAATGGACCATCAAACCCTTGGTCCATAATCAAAATTTAGGGCTGAGAACAGACTCAATTGAATCATAGAATTGGTCTAACCAGTTTGGTTCAATCTGGGTCAAATCGACTTAGGATTTTGGTGTCTATTGCAAGATCCAATTCAAGAAATTGATATGAAAATCAATTATTATCGAAAAAGACATTTAAGATCAGCAAAACAATTATCAGAGAGTTGTTCGTAGTGCTGCAATCCTGCAAGATGTAGTCTGTAAGTTCGTTTTTTACAAATCGCAGATTGCAGATCTTGTATTTGCGAATGGGTCTTCTCCACGCGCACCAGCATTTCTTCCAATGAAAAAAAATAGAAAAACCTATTTTGTCTATTAATTTACATCAGAATAAATCCTATACATTTCGTGTAAAAATAAAAAAAATTATTTACAGATCGAATTGAATAGAATAATACATTAGGGTGCGCAAATTCTTGGCGCTAATAAATATTTCGATATTCACCATACGAACAACCCACAAATCAAGACATAAACATAGAAGGGATATTTAAAACCTTGGCTCAAATCATTCCATATTAGCCACCCTACGCAAATCGTGTAGAACCGGTTCTATTCATTTGCGTATGTTCAAATTAGGTTTGATTTTGGTTCAAGATTTAAAACCTTAGCTTTGATACCACTGAAAGGATGGGAGATCCATCAAATGGATGGTCGAACCATGTAGGGTGGCTAGGCGAATTTTCAAAAAATTTCTCTCCCATCTGGGAATCGTATTCCCTAATTTAGAAAAATTGCATTTTTTAATGTTCGTTCTTGAAACAAACTAGACCAGATCTGAAACTAAAAGAGGGAGAGGGATATACCTGATATAGAATCAATGTAAATAACTCACAATGTGTTCATGCTCAAAGAGGCCACCAAAACCCGCTTCCACTGAAAATGACACCGTTTATGGTATGGCAGGAACAACAAGGAGGTTCTTTAGCAAGAACCCTAATTCTTCAGCAAGAATCACATAGGGTGTGAGCACGACTTTAGATTGTTTTTTTTAGTAAGAAAAAAATATCAAAATCTAATATTGATCAGCTCCAAGAATGGAGATTGAACTGGGTAGGGGCGGCAAGAGATGAGGGAGAAAGCTGCATTAGAAGAATTCACCTATTGAGGAATTCACCCCTTTATTTATAACACTTTTAGGACCAACTTTCTAATCCAATTAGGAAGGAGTTTCTTGATCCAAATATGATATTTGGATCTGAACTCTTAAGTAGATAAGACTTATCTTATCATATTGCTGATCGTAATCAGATTATAAATCAAATTTGCCCCATTTAATTAAATCACTTAAACTTAGTTCAAAATGGGCTTTAGACCCATTAAGTCATATTGATCACTTTCCCTTTTAAATGCTGGCTACTTTGACTCTCTTTGTATGGTTTGAGACCCTAATATTGATCTTCACAAAGGCCATATGGGTTCAACCCAACCTTTGTTACCAGGCCTGGTCGAATTCACTACTGAAGACAGTGAACCTTTGATCTCATTAGTATGGGCTCTTAGCAGACCCAACATTTACATTATATGGTCCCTGGGTCCAGCCACCTTATGAAGGCCCAAAGACTATGGACTTATGTGA